GCAAATATATGTTTTAGCAATTTCCAACGTTTTTCGTACATAAATCCGAGCTCTGCACGTCGAAAACATCATTTAATTACTCGATCCTTTAACCGAATAAATTTCAGAACAGTTCAAGTAGGACAAACCAGTTCCCGAGAACTATATTCCTACCTTATCTCATCACATATACCAGATAGTTAATTCTCCCAAAATTCGCAAACTGCACATTTTTGAGCAGCATTTTAGGACATTCGTGGGCAGTACATGGAGCTTCTGCACGTCTGCATTGATAAAAGTTGAGTTTATCTTTGTTCTCCAACAGTTTACAAACCCGTAGAGGATGGAGAAACAGGTTCCAAAAAGCCACCAAATATATGCTTTTAGCAAACAGAAAATGTGTACATTGAGCGTTGGAATTACCACAAATCACTCGAAAAATTAAAAAAACCCAGCAAATTTGTAAATGTTGATCCGCCATTTTGCTTTAAAATTGTTGCTAGGCAACCTATATGACTGACAAGGTGTATTTATGGGCTCAGTGAGGTTGATTTCGCAATAAAATAGCTCAGATTTCGCGGGAAAATTTGTAAAATTTGGTAAAATTATTTGCAGCAGTTTCAATTTGGGCATCTTTAACAGTTGGAAATTTATTTTAAAATACTTTTCTTTCGTTTACTTGAACATACTGTACCTCAAGTAAGCATTTAAACGGCTTATTGTTGTATTGTGCGTATAAAATTTGCATACGAATACAATGTCGGATACATGCCCGACTGCATTCCATTCTTTCTTGAAATGGAAACTTGGTGAATATGAGCCCGCGCGTCTTGGCGCTGACTGTCCTGAATTTCTGGCCATGAGGTACTGCTCTAAAAGAGACAGAACCTAATGAGTTTTTAGAGCTGCTTAGCTCTGTGGTGTTGCGGGTGCTGAAGCTCCCCGTTCCCCCACTCACACATGTAAGTCGATGAAATATTGGTAATGTTGTTCACTTTACCTTTTAGGCAGCATCCAAGTATCTAGTTCATTTTACTGTTTTACTTCGGTGGGTTTCTTCTTCGATGGATACCAAGTATTTATAACTAATCAGTACAGAATGAATTAATCAAATATTTGATAATCAATCAATAAACTACTCCCAGAAATGGCCTAATGTTCAAATATCTCTAATGGGATTGAAATCTTCTTTGACAACATACAGCTACTACATGCAATTACTACAAAAGGATCACCACATAATATTTATAACTTCTGATAGTTAGTTCAGGCTATGTGTCAGTTCCAATTGTTTCTATTCTACTGTACAAATATGTACCCGAATGTTACAATGTTAATGTACTTCTTCCGGTATTTACAAACATATATATTCCCACATGCGATCTTTCTCACCCAACCATTACATCCAGTTATTGAAACACCAAAGCCAATGCACGAGTTGCACGAGTTGCAGTCGTTTTCACCATTAGCGACTAATCCAATCCGTACATACATCCTCCTATTATGTCGGCCCCCGCGGATATTAAACCCTTGTGTGTTACAATTTTCTTGTAGAGATGAACCATGGATAAGTGATTTCCATTTTGACTTTGTAATGTTTGTTGCTGTGAACTTTCCCTTTGCGATTACGTCGAAAAGCGAGCTTGCTTGGTGGTCAATCACAATCCATTTTATATCAGTTTCCGTTCCTCCCTTGACTTTCATTCCGAGGCATATTTTTTGAAACGGCGTATTCCAATAAGAAGCCAGCTTTGTTTGTTTATCTGTCAAACCTTCAAGTCCGTTTTCGACTTCGTAGGTTCTTTTGTTGTCCCAGTAAAGAGAATCACTTCCGAAGGTTTTCTTTAAGTTAAAGAAACATGTGTGGAAACATTGAATATACACATCAACCTGGATAGATCATCCCCGAGCCGACGGCGCGAAGCGCCGTGCGAGGGTACTAATTCCCCCCGGCTATTTACACCCAGGGAAACGAAAGCATTAGCGAAGTCTAAAGCTCATCAAATATCGCGGGCGTGGCTCACCAACGATGTTTCGGTGGGTGGTCATCCTCACTGATCTCAACAATATGGCGGACTGTCATGAACAGCGGACACTGATTTGCTCCAATTTAAAGTTTGCATTATAACAAATGCATGACGATAGCGAAATAGCAAACATTTCTTGATTTGATGATAAATTTCTTGCCAATATATTTCATTTTTGCTCGCATTTTTGCAAGATTTTGTTAATTTCAAAAGCTCTCTCAGAAAGAAACTGCGAAAGAATCGGCTAAAAGAAGGGAGCCGACGTTAACGAAGGTAATTTACTTTGTTTTAAATATTGGTTTTATAATGGCTTTAAACCCGACGGCCTTTGCGTATACCAGTATGAAACAACTAAACAAGACAGCATATCATTTCAGTGTATCTTTAATATTGATTCCCTTTTTTATGATATTGAATTTTTTAAATAAAAAAGAAAGCAAAGTTATTTGCAAGCGAGAATTTGAAATCATTTTATTGCAAACTCAAAGTTTATCGATAAAGCCATTTTAAAAGGCAGATTAGTTTTTAATATAAAGAACACTCGTGACTTTAAAACGTTTTGCGAAGCGTTTGTGGTTGAATTTTACCTTAAATTGAGGCTTATATTACGTATAATAACATACCTAACATATTTATGTTGGGAAATTAATAATTTTGTAATTAAAAGTAATATTTTTAGGCGATTTTTCATTTGTAAGAATATTCTTAAAAAATTATCGTGTTACCATGACAACTACTTTAAATACTTCATGTTCGGAAAATACAATGGTTTTGTCAGCAAGGCGAGGCTTTCTGCATGCATGTACTTTCTAGTCAGTAAATAATACATTTAACAATGCTCCGATGATGTCAATTAACAGTTATTTAGTAAGTTAGTTATTACCACCTCAGTGCCGTAGCAAGCTCGATAATTGGGGGCTTATATTCATATATTCATTTTCTGCGTTATTAATTTGTTTTGAAATCGATTGTTTTTATGGTCTGTGAACACGAATATATGAATATGAGCCCCCCCCCCCATTATCGAACTTGCTACGGCACAGCTGCAGTTAGTTGGTTATAATTAGTTCGAAATGAAGCGAGACGGAGCGTTCGAAATATTCTTGGAAATGAAAACAAACACTGAAGTATTCGATATAACTTGGTCAATCTTAAAACATATGTAAAAAAGATTAGTAAGTAATTTAATTTTTACTCAACACAAATACGGAAATAGCTTGGAACTGTAACCACAAAAAGAAATCCCTATAGTATAAATGAACAATAAAAAAAAAGAAATGAATGCGTGTATGGTTTGACAGTGACATCATGCAGACATACGCAGCGTGTGACATGCGCCAGAGTTTTTAAACGATCACAGTGAGTTACGCTATGTGGTTTACCTCATATCCATTCGCTTTCATCACTAGTGTCCAGCCCCCTTTTCCGCATCCAGATATTTCAGCCATGTGACAATAAACGTCGTATTTTGCATGTGAATCTTTATTTTGCAGTGCATAATTACCGCTGCTTAACGATCTAAAACGTTTTGTTTGAGTTAGGAGAATAGCATTGCATTGGATGTAAAAGTTGGAAATTCTATGCATGCATGATCTACCATATATATTGTCAATATTTAACACTTATTGACTCGGACAGAGGGAAACAATAGGTTTTCTGGCCCCAAGACTTCCAACGTTTCCTGAAGCGTAGCAGAGGAAAACATTGGCAGCCTAAATTCCACAAAACATACTGTGACTTTCACCTGATACGCTCTAATCCAATGAGATACAAGAAAACATGAAACTTTGACACTTGATAAGATGAGATTTTTGGCGAGGGAGGGAAACATTCGCATTTGGTGGAATGTAAATCTTATACATTGCTAATGCAACACCAAAACGATAATAAATAGCCCCCAAAATGATGAAAATTATAGCACTCCACCGTATGACCCAGTGGCTCTTTTACTTTATGAGTCGCATGTGTTTGTTTCAGATACATATGGGTTAAATTTTCGGTGGTACTTTTCATAAAACCTCGGTAAAAACTATTTATATCAACTGCAAAATTCTGCACAGGTTGATTAGTATTCATCAGACAAAAACGTTTATCAGGCAAATACCGTGCATTTATTTCAAGCTTTATGAAGCCATATTTGTAGGTCATCTGGTATATGATCGCGACTTATACGCAACGTTTTTGAGATTGTTTAAATTCCACGCCATGCTGTTGCCATGCTCAAACCAGTGGCGTAGCCAGCTCGATAAGTGGGAGGGGGGGGGGGGCATATTAATATATTCGTATTCACAGACCGTAAAAACAAACAATTTCAAAAGAAATTAATAATGCAAAACACGAATATATGAATATGTCCCCGTCACTTATCGAGCTGGCTACGCCACTGGTTCAAAGGTTTTGTAATCGATCAGGCCCAAATGGACAGGAGACATACAATTGCAGCATACTATAATAATGTATTTTACACACCTGTTTCCCTGTAGTAGTTCTTTGCAAGATGATAATAGTTGGTGAGTTGCTAAGATATTTTAAAGAATGTCTTATGAACAAACATATGCATGATGTTCTCTTGCATGCAGTTGTCATATACCACATTTCCTCTATTTAGGCCCTTCGGTCCTATTATTCTTGTGGTTATCGACTGGGAATTCAAGTATTCAACTGATTTGCGAGTGAAAACCTTCGATCGCGCACGCAAAAATTTCGCTTAACGACAGCAAAAGTCACTTCTTTTCTAACTACGCACACATTTTATACTCTTTATGGCAATGGAAGATAAAGTAAGTTTTTCTCTAATGATAAAATCATCAGTTTGCCTCGTCTTTGGCTTTACGTGTAGTCCTCGACAGCGTGCGAGAAGAAAATATCTGACATAAAAACAACATAGAAATAATATCATGCAGTGTGCACAATCGTGCATTCATGCTTCGCCTAGAGAATTTCATGAGGAATAATTATAAAACCACGCATCGTCCTTGCATAAAAGCTTCCCCCTCACCACGCCTCTACTCCCATTTTTAACAATCCACATGGCTTGCTCTTAATACCTTTCAAACATCCACTGAAATCAACTCTGAGTGCAACATTTTTGTGCCATGTCTGTGGAAGTATTCTGATGTACCTGGCCACGATGACTGGAGAAATATCCTGACGGACAATCGTGTCTCGATCTCTATTCCCGGGAAATTCCTGCGCAAATATATAAAGAAACAAAGCTTAAAACACTATAATATAAGCGTGAAACCAAAAGGGAAATTTGCCATCACAGGAAACTAATTTCCTTGGAATATCTTCCCCTTTAGGAATTTGACACCACCCCACCCCTCCAATCCTGTTATATGCACAATTACACAGTCATGTATTAGCTACTTTTCACAATTAAACTTACAAGTGATTGCAGGCAATCCTCACTTTCTTTATAACTAACAGTAACGATAACTAGTTCCTTTTGGGAAAGAGTGAAACTACTGTATATATAACATATTTTGGCACAAATGGAGCGATATAAGGCTTACTTTTCAGAGCGATGTTTGTGTTACTTTTTTGTTATATTTTCACGTTAAAATATAGTCCTTGCTATATTGTTTATGCTAACAACTTTTATCATCTTAATGTGATCGATAAACTGATTCACTGCACAATTAGCCTACTTTGTAGATCCCAGCAGGGACTACACAGTAGGCTACTGCAAAATAGCTACCATCGTATTTGCCGGCTAGCAGTTTTGGGTTGTCCTATTCTTTACAGTAATTCACTTATTTAAACCTGCAGATGTATTATTTAAAACATGAGCAACAGCATTTTATCAGACATAAAGGTACGAGGCGAAGGCGAGTATCTAAATCTTTAGGTTTGATGAAGCACGCACTGCGAATATTTTAAATTGCTTCAAAACGATCGATCTAGTAAGTTCATTGGCGAAATAATGTTCAAAAAATACGTGGTGTATGTAAATCAAACCAAATCGATCTCTATCACGTACATATAAAAACACAACACGCTTGTGATTTTTCTTTGTGTTTTTCTCATGAATTATTAATGCGTTTTTGACATAACTTTAAAGAATTTACAAGAAAAAATCGTGAAGAAACTTTTCCCGGCAACTAGTTCATTTGGTTTCGAGCATGTAAATACAACTGTAACTAGTTCTAAAGGATAAGTAAATTTTACAGCACTATATACGTATTTTATATGAAAAGCGTAGCTGTACAATCACTTATTATGGGGAAGACGTCTCATTTCTGAGTGGGAGGGACAAATGATTCCACACAAAATTTTTTCGACTACCTTAGCCACTCCATTCTGACGATATGGATTGAAATTAACACCATTACTGCTGTAGGATAAAGTGTACGTTTTCACCCATTGGTAATCCCGATAACCTCCTCCTTGCGTTAAAACTTGAGATATTGTTGCCTGAAGTTCAAAATCAACTTGTAGCCATGATCCAGAGGCAGTTGCTGGAAGCCAAGCGTAACTATGTCCAGGTCCCTGTTGGTTTAGTCTTGCATTATCTGCACCATGGTAGCTGTTTTTTTCAGACGAAGCGGTAATTTGCGCGTTCAAGATCTCGCCAGTTTCCATGCCGAGACGTAGTGCTTTCTTGCAATCTGAAGAAAATTAAACACGTCGTGTTCTGAAAATTTATTTAATTGTAGTTAGTATAGTCTATCTATTAATTGGAGATACCATTAGAATAATCATTTGAACTATGAGACTGAAGATTAGATTAATACATTTTGTTGAATAAGTATAGAGATTCCCGTCGGTAAGAGGGTTTATCGTAGTAGCTACTGTATATGGCGTATATATCGTAGTAGATTTATGCTAGTAGATTATATGATAGTAGATTTATATCGTAGTAGATTTATGGCAAGTGTTTGGCTCGTGTTTTGCGCTAATAATTGTAAACATGGTGCCTGGTTTTGGTGAAGTCAATGAAGTGAGAGATTTTTTTTCATTTTTTCCTAACTACTGAAACCATCATAAACTAAACACTCAATGCTGTTATGTCTTTAAAATCGTTATTTATTTCAACGTCCCAAAATATAAACCTCCACATATGTGCTCATTTCCAATCATCCCGCACTCCTGATCCAATGTTCTATACTTCATGTAACACCGACATAACGTCTCCCTCTTTCTCTCACAACACATAGTTCTATAGTAAATCTGATAATGTGAACTAAAACCTGAAGATCATGCTATGATTGAAAACACAACTAAGTATACAAATATTATCAGAGGTTTTTACCGTCTTGCTCTTAAAGAATACCTATATTCAATTTGATGTCTTGTTCAAACATAAGTTTAGCGCAAACTTCCGAACAGATCGTTTTAAAAACAGCTTTTTTACTGCTAGTTCACTAAAATTCTAGCCAATTTGAATAACACTAATTAAACAGTAGAACTGACCATTTTAATAATAGTCCTTAGAGTAGCCTCGTATCTCTTGTTCGCCAATATATATATATATATACAAACAGTGCTCAATGCCATATAGATAGAGCGTAATATAGTTTTTCATTTTAGCTCAAAAAAACCACAACAGTCTGTTTCATCCGTATGGGAATCATCAGGTAGACCACTATATATATATATATATATATATATATATATATATATATATATATATATATATATATATATATATATATATATATATATATATATATATATAGATATATATACAGATATAAATAACGCAAACTTCAATCAGATTGTTTTAAAAACAGGTTTTTATTGCTAGTTCACTAAAATTCTTGTTAGCCAATTTGAATAACACTAAACAGTATAACTGACCATTTTAACAATAGTCTTTTATAGTAGTCTCTTAAGAAACATCTCTTATTCACCAAACTTTAGTTGATTCTTTATAATTTGTCAGGGTGTTAGCTACAGTGAAACATTCCGCGTTAAACGCGGTTTTCCCAATTACCTTGAGGTCGCAATTACCAAATTTAGGTCAGCCAAAAATTAGTTATAGAAATTCAATGTTGTTAATACGCCATTAAAAACATATTTATAACTAGCTACATTTGGTCAAAATTACTCTCAAAATGCGGGAAATGCCATTTCAAAGACACACAAAGTTTAAAAATCGAGAGAGGTGCCCCAAGACCCACAAAGAAATGGTCGGCTTCAGGCTATAATAATTATACTGAGGAGTTCATTGAAATCTAGCATTAGAAAACATAACAAGGTAAAAATGGACCTACCTTTTGGTTGAGTGGTCGACGTTGAACTATCTGTCGTTTTGGGTATAGATGTCGCTATAATTGAAGGTAAGAGTAATATTTAAAACCAAAAAAATTAATATTCTTAGGATGAATATAGGATATTTGCATTGATTCATTGTGAGTATACTTGTTGATTGAACTGTTGAACTATCCGTCTTTTTCTGCATAGATGTTGCTTAGAGAACAAACGTTAGAGAAGAGTAGGTTTGTGAAGGATAAACAAGGGAGGAATTTCATTCTCGACCAATCAGCACTTTTGTTTGCATTTTTCTCAAAGCCAATCGCATTGCGTAAAACGCATCATCACATCAAATATGTAAACAAACATTTGGGAGTCATATGGGGTCACTTCAGAGCTTTGCTGCAAGCGTCTTTACAGTAACTGTTTTTGCCATGAAATTGATATGGTTCGGACATGGGTCTTCAAACTTTGCCTTTTGCATGCAGGCTTAAGTAATAGAAATATCCCTCGAGTATAAGTTCTGCTTGAGTATGTTGATATCCTGCATTGGGCGTCTCACACTAAATGTCATAAGCTGGCTAACCAGCTCACTAGACTAAAAATCATGTAATACATATTTTGGCCCAAGCAATTAAGAAATCAATTAATAAAAGTCTTCTGAAATCCGAAGCTGTTGTCATTAACAAATTTACTAGCATTTCACTCAAATTTCTTGCCAACACTACTAGCCAGGTTAGCCTGAGGCAAATGACTAAATAGCCATGAAAATAAATCCAGCCATGTTTGCTGGGCTGCCATGGCCCATATTCACAGCCCTTAACAGGAATAACTTATTTTTGGAGGTGAGAGCTTATTTTCTCAAGGGAGACAGGTATTCTAGTAATGCACTAAAAGACTAAAATTGTAGTTTCGAGATTTACCGGGGACATGTTTATATAATTTTTTATATGATCTGGACTATATGCAGAACACATATTTGAAGGTAATTTCGCGTTGACTGATTGGAATAGAGTGTTACTTCACTGTACATGGTAAATTTCCTGGCTTCCATAGCCAGGATTCTGGCAATGGAAACCTCACGCTTAGCCAGTATTGTAGCAGGACAGGATAGAACATACTGGGAAATGTCATGTCCCGCCTAGCCAGGCAATACGAATAGGATCCAATTGTGACTAGTGAGCCAGATTAAGTAAAAACAATGAAATTCATATATGTATGTAAATTCTGATATCTGAGCAGCAACATTGAACAAATCATTCTGTCCCAAATATTACTCTTCTCTCTTTTGCATTGATTCCTTGTACACATACTTATTGGTTCAACTGTTAAACTTTCAGTCTTTTTCGGTTTAAATGTTCCTATATAATTATAGAGGAGAGAAATGTTTGAAACCGTAGAAAAGTAATATTCTTAGGATTAAAGGAGGAATATAGAATTTTTACAATGATTCATTGTGCTATAATTATAAGGAAAGTTGGAATAGTTATTTAAACTTAAATTAATATAATTCTTAGGATGCAAAGATGGATATAGAATCTGACATTGATTCATTATGAAATTACTTGTTTGTTCAGTTGTGAAACCATCAGTCATTTTCGGTGTATATTTTGCTATATTGAAAAGAAAATGAATGAAGCATATAGAAGTGAACTTAACTGTAATGGAATTTTAAAATCGTGAACCTACTTGTATGTTGAGTTGTTAGACCATCTGTCCTTTTCGGTGCAGATGTCGCTATAATTATGAAGAGGAGTAAATTTAAACCATGAAAATGTATTATTTTTATAGAAGGATGAATTTTGAATTTTTGCATTGGCTCATTCTGCCCATACTTGCTGATTGAGTTGTTGAATCATGTGTATTTTTGGATGTAGGTGTTACTATAATCACAGAAAATAGTACAATTAGAACCATAAAAGTTTAATATACTAGCTTAGGACGTAAGGATGAATATGGAATTTTACATTGCTGATTCATTATGAAATTACTTGTTTGTTGAGCTGTGAAATCATCTGTCGTTTTCGGTGTAGATTTGGCTATAATTAAAAAAATATTTAAAAGCATAACATTTATTTATTTAAGAAAAAACGAAAGAACGCAGACGGAAGTGAATTGAACTATATAATTTTAAAATTGTGCACATGAACCTACTTGTTTGTTCAGTTGTTAAGCCATCTGCCTTTTTCAGTTTAGATGTTGCTATAAAGAGACGAGTAATATGTAAAACCATAAAAATTAATATAAGAATATTAAATGAACACGGAAGCTCAGTATTGACTCATTCTGCACATACTTGTTGGTTGTATTGTTAAACCATCTGTCTTTTTCAGTGTAGATGTTGCTATAATGAGATCAGTGATAAAATCATAACATATAATAGCCTGCGAATAGGCTCACTGGGAGAAAGGTGAGCCAGCACGGAACCATGCGTTTTATTCAATCATCCCCTTTTCGCATCTGCTAAACGCGAACCAATCAGCGTCAATGCGATAAATAAACTGTCAACTGTCAAATTGACGTAGGGCGTATGTGCAACGAAGAAATGTATTTTACAATAATACGAAGCATTACTGTAATAGCAAGATACACAATATATTAAATATAGAATTCACCGGATAATAGATCAGTAATAATACTTGTACTACTTGTGACTGAAAGAACAAATTTCTGTATATTTGAAGCCATGTATTAAAGTGGCACTCGCGTCAAAATTTTTATTTTCTTATTTTCTTAACAATTATAATTGTATAGTAACATGTTTTGAAGATTTTTGTTCCAATGCTTAGTTCTTGCATCAGTTATATCTTCTTTGTAATCATGTGACGTCAATGACTCAATTACATATATAATGAGATATCAGTAATTGTTGTGTATCTTTGTTATTTTTAATCAAATCTTTTCAAAGATGCGGCGCGTTTCTTAAATTTAACCTATAGATCATTAAGCAAATTTTTTTTTTAACAAATCCATAAAAAACAGCAAAGATACACAACAATTACTGATTTCTCATTATATATGTAATTGAGTCATTGGCGTCACACGGTTACAAACAAAATGAAATATTTCAAGAATTAAGTTCTTCAAAACAAGTTACTATTCAGTTTTAAGAGCATTTTAAGAAAATAAGAAAATAAAAATTTTGACGCGAGTGCCACTTTAAGATACAGATAGATTGCCAATAGTGGAAGCCGTATCGACGGTATTTGATATCAAATGATAAAGTGAATGCAAATATGCAATATAGTTTTTATCAAACAAAACCAGCATTGTTCAGGAAGTTAATAATATATGCAGTGAAATTATTAAATAATTTACAAAATTGTTAGCTGAGTTTATATAGTAAATTATTAAATAGCACAAAGTTTAATATTCCGGCGGACGACATATATTTATCTAAATGATATGCCAGCGAGAATCAACAATACAGTATAATTGTTCGTACATGTTTGCATGTGTATCTTTTGTATGCCTTCGCTTGCTCACTAATGAGAGTAACCCGTGAAGCCATCTCTAGTATGTCAATATAACGTCTGTAATACGACAACCTCAAAATGTAGCTTGCTTTACTATAGTTTGATGTCAATCCGGAGAAGAAGTTCAGAATACTATAATTTTTGTGTGTTGGATTTAAGCGATAGATTCACCTTATTTAGGATGCACGTTTTTGCTGTGATGCTATGTTATTGCTTTTAGTTTCCATTTCTAGTTTTACTTTGTTCGATAGTATTATAATATTAAAATGAATAGAGTTCAAAATGCTGTTGTTTACATTTGCTATTTTTAATAATTTTGACAACGAGTGTATAGTAAGGCAATCAGAAGCCCCCGTTTCTATACGAACGCCACTACCAAGAAAACATATAGTTCCGTGCAGGCCCTGGATCCTTTCTTCGCGCCGCCCGTAACCCAGGAGGGCCTGTTCGTAGGCTAAACATGTAATATTCTTAGGATAAAGGATGAACACAAAAGTTCTGTATTGACTCATTTTGCACATACTTGTTGGTTGAGTTGTTAAACCAGCTGTCTTTTTCAGCTTAATTGTTGCTATAAAGAGACGAGAAATATTTGAATTGAAAAATATGATATTCTTCGGATGAAAGGAAAATATAATTTTTTTACATTCATTCATTGCGAAATGAGCTACTTGTTTGTTGAGCTTTTTAGGCATCTGTTTTTTCGGAACATTTAAAACGTCAAAAATTTTATATTCTTAGGATGAATGGTATGAGTATAGAATTTCGGACCGATTCATTGTGCACATATAAACTTGTTGGTTCAGCTGTTACAATGCGTCTATAGTAAGTGGGCCACTTTGAGAATTCTAACCAATTACATTGCAGAACAAAAATAGAAATCTAATCAAACTTAGGCTCATCCAATCAAAAGAAAGCTTGGAGTTTGACATTTGTTCATTTGTTCAAATTGTTTTTGGCCTAATGCTGATTGGCTAATGCGCCGTTTGTTGGGGTTTTTTCTATTTTGTGCTGCAATGTGATTGGTTAGTGTTCTCTAAGTGTCCCCACTTACTGTAAACGCAGGAAGCCAACCGTGTCTATGTGTTGGTTTGGATCGAGAAGAATAATCTCGTAGAGAATTACTGTAGAAAATTAATATTCTACAAACTAAAGGACAATCAATCCCTGAGCCAACGGTGCGGAGCGCCGTTCCGGGCGGTAGCCTGGGCGAGGGTACTAATTCAACCCGGCTATTTACACCCGGGGAAACGATAGCATTAGCGAAGTCTGAAGTTCATCAATACAAACACCCGATTTGGGTATCAATTTCCCGTTTGTAATAAAAAATGACTGAAAATTGCAAATTCGCAAGGCTATATTATCCGCATTTCACAACATTTCTCAACGAAACTTCGGAATGTTTCTAATTTTGTGATGCTCTTTCAAGCTGTGATGAAATTTTTGTCTAGACTTGTCTAGATCAAAATTTTAGTTATAAGGTTAACGATGCATTACTAATCTTAAACACCGAATAGAGAAGTTGACATTGATTTAACTTATGAGAACTTACTTGTCGCATGAGTTTTTGAACTGTCTGTTTCAGTTCTCGTTATCGCTTTTGCTGAAAAAATATTAACAAATTATTGTTTAGAAATTAACATATACTGTATTAAACAAATCATTTTAATATACGTATACCATGTATGCATAGGCGTATACATAGGCGTACCGGGCGGATGCAATTGAAAGTTTGCCCGAATTTTCATATGATGTGGTAACGTTACGTTACATATACGGGCATGTTACATATACGGGCATGTTACATATACGGGCTTCATTACGTAATCGACATTAACCTTGGTGACATTGACACAGCCACAAGTGTTGTGTCTGGTTACATGGTTAGAGTTCTCGATGATCTTTTTACACGCTTTTGTTGTACGTGTTTTGTTTATGTAAAAATTGCTTAGCAATAAATTACATGAATAATTTTTGGGGATACTATTTCATAAGCTTCGCGCAGATTCGCTTTATTAATTATACGTTTTAGATTATTATTCTCATTTAAAGTTTTGCGACAGGCCACAAAGTAGGACTTGATCTAACAGGTATGTGGGTGTTCACAATTTTACCCACGCAATCCATGCACGTCACGTTTTGAAAAGGCTCAGTATCATCAGTAATCTGTTCTCATCGCGTATTTGCCATATAGGCAAATATGACTCCGCATGCGTGATGATGCGTATTCAAACAAATTTGCCAGTGCATTATATAGTATATAGTCGTATATTTCCAAGGGCATTAAATAAAGTCTCGCTCCATGCACAACTCCCCTGATCTAATCTCGAATAAATTAAATATAGCTACATGGAAGCATCTTTTTAGCTTTAGTGGATACCGTGGTGGCCGATATCATGCATGCGTAGAGGCACAGAAAAGTAACGTCGGCATTAGTTTTGTAAATGATTTAGTGTGTTTGTTGAGGTAATTATATTGCTTCTATAACATTTAGAAAGATTTACACTTTTCCGTGCGTGTACATTCGTATGAAAAAACGTTTAATTGGAAAGCAGCTTTTACTCATCAAGAAGAGTTTATAAACTAGAATGACGGTCACGTTTTCACATCTGACGGCACACATACGTCAGCATATTCTTTTCTTAAATTTTATTCAGAATTGCACTGATCAGATCACTTGTTATCAGGAAAAAAATGAAAAAAATGTAGCAACAAAACTTTATCAGTATAGTATAGGCTTTCAGAACGTGTTGGTAACACGCTTATTTCTATAAAAAAAAAACACGTTCATTAGACATTGAAAAGGCAGAAGACATCAAAATATATACATAAGAAGTCCGCCACTCGATTGTTACGTATAAAATACTTGGGATGCGCTGTTAATGCAAATTAGGGAGGGTGGAAGAAACTCCCTTCCTCTGACGTCTGCGTGTCGTATTATAGATATAAGTGCGACTAATCATGTATACGTCACGCCAACACATATCACGGGAACCTGTAGTATAAATTGACCTGAATTAAGTGTCTAAAGAATTAGTATTCACTTTCATTTTGTTTTGTTCGTTTTGAGTTGTGAAAGGAGAATTTATCATCAATTTAACAGGATAAGCAGAACAAATAATAATGTAAGTAAAGAATATTAGCAATTTACATGCCATTTATACATAATTTAAATTCAGTAGTTTAATTTAAATAATTTAATATTGTAATTAGTTTCATTTTTGTTGTTTATGTTCTAGTAATTAACAATTCGTTAATATTTCACTATATAATCAACTACATCTGGACTGCTGCGTGATCATTTTTTATAATTGTTCGTTACAATAATTGATTGCAGGCGCCATTAACTTTTATACTTGACTCTTTGGTTTCTTATTTATATTTCATGAAAAACCATTATTTCAATTTTCAAGTTATTAACATTATGAAATAATAATATTGGAAGTCATATACTACGATTCCGAAATTCCGTGGGCCAATTGCAATAATACCATTCGGTTGCAAAGGCCTTTTTCAGTATTTGTATAAATTATGTATATATGTGAATGGCTACACAATTTTAAAATCCAATAAACTAAAAATTCCGCATGATATCGATACTATGGGTAATTTTATAATTATGGCGGGGGGAGGGGGTGTAAGTAGGGTGTACGAGCGGTGATCGAGTGGAAGGCTTTCTAGGTTCGCCTCTCATGGTAGCCACCTTATGACCCATGTCTAAACACGGAGCACAAGACGGAAGGGTTAGTTTAGGGCTAATATCCCGGCTTAGGGGCTAATCCCAACCAACCCTGTATAAACATTCCCTGTGGGAGGAAACCAGATTACTCGACGAAAACCCACGACTTTTGGCAGAGCGTTGACTAACTCTTTTCACATGGATATCATAACGTCCACAGCGGGAATCGAACTCACCGAAGCCCAATTGAAACGTAATTTGATATCATAGGGTGCAAATTTCGAAGGTTTTTATTAACTTTCAAAGTACCAGACAATTTGATGCACATTAGGGGGGGGATAGGTTTTCGGATCTTCGGATTTCACAGAAAAAAATGTTCGGATTTCGGACCTGCCGAAATTTTACACGGATTTGCGAATCTTATTAATACAGCGGATTGCGGATTTATATAATATTTTGGCTCGGATTGTGGGTTTAGCTTACAATTTAGTTCTGATCCGGGATTGTGACTTCGTAGTAGAGCTTTTAGCAGATTCAAATTTAGACAATTTAGACAAACGCTATTTTGCTTCAAATTTGAGTGTATCGGCGGATTTGTATACCCCTATTCACACACCCCCCCCCCTCCCACATTACGTCCTACGCGCGCCCTCCAAAACTTATCTAGTTTAGGTTTTTTGTCCACTGCATGTCGAGGGTAAAAAGTGGAGGGTCATATATAAAAAGTCGAGAGTTTTAATTATAAAATATTTTATGGTTTTTCATTGTTAAGGTTTAAAAACTCTAGAGTAAAAAGCTTGAGGGTATTTTGCATTTTAACCCTATCAAGACTGGGGGGGGGGGCGGAAAGTGCCCGATCAAACTTTGAATTGCTTTTCTGAACGTTTCACCTCTGTTCATATTAAATATTTTTGTGTTTTAAATCAAGGATCACACAAGAGGTTTTTGATGATACTTTTATTTTAGCCAAAATATAATTATTATCAAAAGCCTCTTGTGTGATCCTTGATTTAAATTAAAAACACAAAATTATTCAAACTTTGAATGTTTATAACCATTTAAAGTTTTAATTCAAATGCACGAAACGTCGCAACTTTTCCTAAATTCTGGGAATACAATACTGAGTGACTGGGTCGAACGCGTACGTCATATTGCCGTGACAACCCAGTTTATGATCACGTGTCAAGTCATACTTTTATTTTGTCTTCTAAGAAACCGGTTTTTCATGGTGTTATCAACTTTTATTACCTAAATGATATGAGCAATAAAATTAATTTGTCTTATTGGAAAGAGCTTTTAAAGTTATATCAGATTTGTCATATCTTACTTTGTTCATGAAATATTTTGACTGAAAGCAACGGCTCGTCCAGTATTTTGGATTACCGTATTTCTAACCTCATTAACTACAGTTTTGATGACGTCACATGTGAAATTAACTTTTTAAAATTTCTAGGTTCTAAAATCAAAATCGAAACTTGGTCCACAGAATTTATTTCAAGTTTAAAATCAAACGTAGTTATCTATAGGTTGGGGATTTGTGTCATATTGATCCCACTTGTGACGTAACATGCATATCCACGTTAATCCAAGATGGCGATAATCTCCATTGCTTTCGGACATTATATTACATGAACCAAGCACAATCAGTGGCGTAACGGAATCTCCTAAGTTCATCCCCCTATTCAATTTTTAAGTGGGACCCCTTGCGGGGGGGGGGGGGGCGAAAAAAATTGTCTGAAACATTTTCATTGAAGAAATGGGTTCAAAAACATTTGCCGGACTATGACAATTAAAAAAACAGTCACAAAACATTTTCCCCATCCATGTCTACCGAAAAAGACACTTCATTACATTAATTTGCATCCAAGAACAAACCGCAAACATTTTCGCGCGTTTGTTTACGTTTGAAACGGGGCGTTTATCGTTGGAAACGGAAATGTTTCACTGCTCATGTGACGTGTTACAATGCAAAGCTTATTTCAGTTATTTTTTATGTTTTGATGTGCTTTCGTGCACGTTTCAGTATTTCCAAGCTCACGATATTGTAAGAGCGACCAAACTTGTTTATATTCATACCTTTTGTGACTACAACATATTATCATCGGCTTGGAATATCAGGAATCCGACACGTCAGATGCCGTCCAATCAGAGGCCGAAGCTTCCGACACTAAGGAAAGCACAGAGATAAAGCAACCACCTCCATTTATTAAAACGAGCTATCCTGTCCATTTAATTGACTGTCCCGAGGAGAGTGAACCCAACGTATTCTCTAGCCGTCCTCCTGATAAACCAAGTGATCCTGGCGTTACATGTACCGGTAAACGATCAGGAAAAAATGAATCACAATCTGTAGAAGAAGAAGACTTCTGGATAAAAGAATTGTGTTTAAAGTTATCAGACAAGCGAATTTTGGAAAAGGGGCATTGGGTAAACGATCGTATTATTATGGCGGTGTTCAAAATATTGCGACTCCACCCATTCACGGCCGAGCTTGGTGGCTTACAGGATGTGATTCCTGCTGTTAAGTACGGATTTACCAAAGAAAACCGCGAGCATTTTGTCCAGATCATTAATGTCCGTGGAAATCACTGGATAACACTATCCAACATCAAATCCTGCGTTGATGAAGTTCGTATCTATGACAGCTTTGTTAACCTTAATCGAAAGGGTAAGGATCAGATCAGCTATCCAGTCGATGTTGAGCAGTGCGTCTGCAGAATAGCAAGCCCACTGGGTTTCGTTAACATGGTTGTCACTAACGTGCAGCAACAGAAAGGTGGCTCAGCCTGTGGCTTGTTTGCCATATCAAACACTATCGCCCTCTGTTTTGGAAAGGATCCAATCACGTTGAAATGGAATCAAGGCATGTTAGGTCCCACTCTTATGCGTTTGTTTGTTGATCGAGATTTCCCATCATACCTGAAGTCTACATCCCAGCATAAGGATACTCCTATCCGAAAGTTTCTTTTTGAATGGGTGTGTTGGGTACATTGTCACTGTGCCATGCCTGATGATGGTGAGTTAATGGGTAAATGCAAGAAATGCAAGAGATGGTTCCATAGTAGTTGCGAACAAGGGGATTTCAAGGATCCTGAGTAGAAGTGTCGTAATTGCATCACACGAGAAGAAGAGACGAGAAAGAGGAAGGAAGATCGACAAAAAGAAATAGATAAGTGTTTTGCTAAACTTCGTCAAACAGCGAGAAAATACAGTAGCGTGATGAGTTAGTGACACTGTACAATAAAGTGAATCAAGTTGCATTTAGCAGTCAGCTTCCCCCCGGTGAAGACACAGTTGGTTTTTTAAATGTTCAAGAGTATAACGAGTGTACTGGTGAGACGTTGTCCCGACCAAAGCTTGGCATGACGTGTGGTCTGGATGGACTTGTGTTCATTGTAATTTTTCGCGAAACGCACACCGACAAACTAACAGTTTTTAAGACGCTCATCCACGAAATGGTACATGCAATCATGATAAAGCAGAATATCAAGGGGAAATCACACGGTAAAGAATATAAACGTCTTGGCAAAGAAGTGTCTAGGGTATTGCAAGTAAACCTTCATGAATTTGAAAAACCATATTGTGATTTAGTGATCGACGAACGTGAAATATTTAGTGCTAGAGGCTCATGAGTATAAAGTTTTTTCCACTAATAATTGTTCATGTGTTTATGTATCATAACACATATTCAACTTTGAATATCTAAGTTGATAATCCTGTCATCCCTGCTGTTGTAGGAATATACTCAATTTTGAACATTTAACATGATGATCTTGCTATCCCTGCTGCTGTTGGAATAGACTTAACTTTGAACAATTAACATGATGATCCAGCTGTTGAATCTTTGCTGCTGTTGAATATACTTAACTTTGTTACTTTGAATATCTAACTTGATGATGCTGTCATCCCTCCTGCTGTTAGAATGTACCTAAATTTGAACATTGTTATTTGACGATCCTGTCACCATGCTGCCTTGAAAATACTTTACTTTGAACATTGTTATTTGATGATCCTGTCATCCCTGATCCTGTTGGAATATACTCAACTTTGAACGTTTCACATGATGGCTTCCTACAGTTGTTGAAAAATGGCAGCGAAAAATAAGATCTTCAAAACGAAACGAAATAATTTGCTATTTATGCAAAATATGCAATTTTTTAAAAGTATAAATGCTTTTGCAATCTTTATACTGAAGTACATTCGTTCGAAAGAATCAAATTATGTGTTGCCATGGTAACAATGTGACCCAAGCGACAGCAGTCAGACATTAAATTTTACACAAAAAACGAATTTATTAAATTTCCTTCGGTCAAAGTTTCTAAAATTTTGTAGGGGTAAAGGGATTATCTAGTGGGAGATTATATAAAAAAATTAGGTGGAGTTATAAATTGAACTTTTGCCGAGATATCACACAAAATTTGTTCCACAAAACCTGCTTTATAGATTTTTTCAAAAATTGAGTATATTGAACTAAATGACCATACTACTTTAAAAAAACCCAAAATTTTAGAAAAATTGACCGAAGGAGAAATAAGTTACTGCATTTTAGGGGCCGGTTGTATATTAAACTCTTACTATCACTTCTTTAATCACTATTTTGTAGTTAAACAGTGATTAGCTCTCAAATACGCGCATCGTTATATATGGCGTGCCGATATGGACAAAAATACTTCTTTTTAATATGTTACTTGTTTTGAGATACAAACATGTTTGTCTGATATAAATATATGACTTGTGGATATAAGATTTCGAAATCGTGGTGAGCAATTTATTAGAAACCTAATAATTGCTTGTCGACATCTGCACAAAATCGTGATATAAGCGATATAAGTCGTTGAAACTCAGCAAGCAGTGTTCAACGACTTATATCGCTTATATCACGATTTTGCTCCACATGTCGACAAGCAATTATTAGGTTTCTAATAAATTGCTCACCACGATTTCGAAGTCTCTCAGCTATCTCAGGTTCTGAAACAAATAGTATTTCGATGCATTTCTTGATGCATTTCTTCGATGCATTACGATGCATTTCTTCGATGCATTTCATTACTAGTATGGATTAATTTTGTCCATTTCCTTTGCTTGTTTGTTGTCAAAGTTTCCGCCATGTTTGGATTCTTTAAGGGAGGAATGTCATGAAGTAGTTCTCAAAATAGTTCGCTGAACGTTCGCGGGCGTCATTAAAGTCATATATTTTTTAAACAGAAGTATTATAATTTTCAAAAAGAAGTACTATATTTTTGAAATAGACGTCCTAGTATATTTTGGAAATAGAACTTGGTATATTTTTGGAACAGAGGTTGTATATCTCGCAAAGAAACTCTGCATTTCTCCACAAGTCATATATTTATATCAGACAAACATGTTTGTATCTCAAAACAAGTAACATATTACAAAGAAGTATTTTTGTCCATATCGGCACGCCATACTTCGTATTGGATGACGTTTTCCACTAACTATATAGTTAACTTTAATCACTTTATTGTACAACCGGCCCCAGACCTTGTGTGGCGAGATGAAATGTTTGCTGACGTGATTTTGTTTCAACTTTTATACAGCTCATTTTTTGGAGATGCATGCACGTTGGGAAAACTTTTCAAAACATCCGTTTAAAAATTAACTGCAAGTTTGACTTTTCATCTTTGCCAAACTTTGGTCCTTTCATAAAATTTATAAATGTAGGACTTTAGTTTTACATTCACTTGTTTGAAAAGATATAAAACTACATGTAAATGTAGTAATTTGAGTCGAATGACAGGAGTTTGTTTAAAATACATTTATTGATTTAATATGAAATATCAATTTTAAAAGAACATTATTAACACGATATTGAACGTAAACACGAATAAAAACACACTGAAATAAAAGATAGCGTAGAAACTGAGAAACTGACATACGTACAGTTTGAATTTCAAAACTTTACAATTAAACTTAAAAACTTGCGTTTTCTTCCTTGACATAAATTTGAAAACATACGGCTAGTTTCAATTACACCTACAAATACGGCCTGTATGTTACATATACGGGCTCTATGTTACATATACGGGCCATATGTTACATATACGGGCTGTATTTTACATATATGGGCCATGTGTTACATATACGGGCCATATGTTACATATACGGGCCATATGTTACATATACGGGCTGTATGTTACATATACGGGTTGTATGTTACATATACGGGCTGTATTTTACATATACGGGCTGTATTTTACATATACGGGCTGTATGTTACATATACGGGCTGCATTTTACATATACAGACCATATGTTATATATACGGGCCATATGTTACATATACGGGCTGTATTTTACATATACGGGCTGTATTTTACATAT